TAGTATGTAGTATGTAGTATGCAGTAGGTAGTAGTAGGTAGTAGTAGGTAGTAGTAGGTAGTAGGTAGTAGGTAGTAGGTAGTAGGTAGTAGGTAGTAGGTAGTAGTAGTTGTTGTTGTTGTTGTTGTTGTTGTATATGTAGTAAATGTAGTATATGTAGTACATGTGGTATGTTGTATATGTTGTATATGTTGTATATGTTGTATATGTAGTATATGTAGTATATGTAGTATATGTCGTATGTGTCGTATGTGGTATGTGGTATGTAGTATGTAGTATGTAGTATGTAGTAGTAGTAGTAGTAGGAGTAGCAGTAGCAGTAGCAGTAGCAGTAGCAGTAGGAGGAGTAGGAGTAGGAGTAGTAGTAGTAGCAGCAGTAGCAGTAGCAGTAGCAGTAGCAGTAGCAGTAGCAGTAGGAGGAGTAGGAGTAGTAGTAGTAGTAGTAGTGGTAGTAGTAGTAGTAGTAGGAGCAGCAGCAGCAGTAGCGTGCCTTTTTTTGTTCTGTTGGCACTTCCAACGTGTTGTGTTTGCATCCCATGCGCTCAGGAAGTATCCTTTCTTACTCCGCCAGCTTCCCATGGAGGGCCACGTCTTTCGCGACGTCGCCTGTGGGGACCGGCACATCGTGGCGGTGACCACGGCTGGGGCCATCTACGAATGGGGCGATCGGAGGACCGAGGAAACCAGGCTGTGTGAAAACGTAGTTATCTTGCAATCCTTGATTTGGCTTGTGCTCTCAAGTTGTTTCTTTTCGATTGAGCCCTCAGCAAGCGACCTAAAGAAAGCATGTGTTTGATGTATGGTTTTATTTGGAATGATCATTTAGACCTTAGGTTGGGTTTCAACTGGAAGTTTGTTAGTCGGTGAGCCTGAAGTGGGTGCTGGTCTGGTTGATGCCTACTTAATGTTTGAAGTGGTATCAGATCAGGAGAAGCACAAGAGGAATCTTCGGGTACAGGGGATCGATGGTTCTATATTATGCTGTAGTGGATGTGGACCGTGTGCACTTGCCGAGATGACGGCCACGTGCCAGGATCCATTTGATGGTGAAATTGTATAATCTTGTTACATTATATCATTTTCAGGGCCACCCTGCAAAAACATAAGCTTTGCTTTTATTCCAAAACAGGCACCATGCTCGTTTTCTAGTGAGATCTAGTGGGCAAATCAATCAATTACCCCAAAGAAGCACTTGTAGGGTTTTAAACAAATGCTGATTAAACTAACATCCACCCTTCTTCCTTTAGTTTTTTTTCCGCACTGTTTTTTCCTCGCCACCGATCTCTTCACAGGAAAGGACCCTCAACCGCAGATTATTAGACGCAAAACAAACTGCAAGGACTGTTTTCTATGTTAGGTGGTGCAAGAGCTGATCACCAGCCAGCCGCCCGACTATGGATTCAGTGAGATTTTGTGGCCTTCACGACTTTTATTTGTAGCACGAAAGCACAAAGGACAGGTGGTCTTACAGTGGTCTCGCACAATTACAAACTACAATTTGGTTTCTTTAAGATGAGGGACTCCTACAAAATACTTAATTTTATCATGTGTTATCATGGTTTAGCACTTTTGGGGGGAGCTCTATAGGGTATACTGATTAAGCCGCCAGGGGGTCCACCGTGGTGGGGGTCCGTTCCTTTCCGCACGGCGGTCCACGGTTCCACGGTTCCTCGCCAGGAACTTTGAGCCAACGGCCATCACCCTGCCAAGCCGCTACCAGGATGGCTTGAAAGGTCGGACGTCCGGGCTTGATTGATCTCAGCTTTACCAAACCTGGCTGGTGTATATTATATACATATATATTAATATAGATATATATATATTAATATATATATATACATATTACTACATTATATTATATTATATTATATTGTATTATATTATATTATATATTATATTATATTATGTTATATTGTATATATAATATTATATGTCACTGTCACTCACAACAACTCCTTGGTCTTTGCCAAACGCTTGGGCTGGAGACAGAGTAATTACCACCTCTAGAGGATCCAAGTGTGCTAGTCGCACCGTCAGCGCCAGGTGTCCACAAGGTAGCCGCAGGCGTTCGGGGTTGGAGGGGCTTCGGGAAAGTAGAGTCGACGCCTATTTTAACAGTTGGGGGTTCATGGTGACATATGGTGACCAATTAGAAAAAATTGGAATACCAGCTCAGCTGTATAAATATAAAGTATAGGATTCCTATATACATGTAGAGTTCCCTATATATATATAATTCCCGTTTGGATCCCACAGGTTTGGCTCCAACCGAACGCAACGTTTGGAACCTTCCAGAGCGGTTGCAACAAATGTCACACCCAAGCTATTCCAACCTGCTTCATGTTCACCATACACTCTCTCATGTGCCCTTAAAACCTTTGAGGGTCTTTTGTAGTCTATCCTAAGCATCATTGGACTGGACCCTCTGGGAGGGTTTTGACTGTGCAGAATGCAGAATTTTGGGTCCGAACCTTCACCTTCACCTTTGAGGATCCTTCATGCTTAGGGTAGAGAGAATATCCTTGGACATTACTTGGTTTATTGGGTACTGCAGCAACATGTCCGCACTAACATCAACTCAATGTTCTTCATGTGTTTTTTCCCGTTTGGACCGCTTCTTTGGTCCATGATGTTTTGTTGATCGGTTGGGGGGGGGCTTTCAGCCACCGGGGGGCTTCAACTTGACCCTCCAGCCACGTGTTTGGTGAAGGACTTCCACCGAACCCGGGGCGCGCCGGGCTTCCCGGCGCGCCGAAGCTGCTTTCGCCGCATAAACACTCGAATCTCCAAAATCCAAAAAGATCGATCCTACTAGCCAAAGGTTCTCCAACATATCTCCAAGTACCTCCGAAAAGAAGGTGCTTGGGGTGGTGTGCCCGGGAGGGGTGGTGAATATGATTTAGTTTGTAGGGACTAGACGCATCACTTGGGGATCAGATGAGCGGGGTCACCGGTCGCCTCGGACTCCATTGGTGGTTCAGGTGAAAGCTGTTCCTTTGCCCTCACGGTCTCTGGGGAGCTCTACTCCTGGGGTCGCCCAGACAGTGGATGCGTCCTAACCCACGAGGCCCACGAGGAAGTAGTCACGCGCCCAAGGCTAGTGCCACCAGTGCCTCGGTCGAGGTGTTGTGATGCTTGAGAAGAGCAGGCCTGCAACCAGTATAGGTGGGTTCTTTTCGGAAGATAAGCACCAATATTGGACGCATGACATGTGTTAAAACTGGTTGTCTTTCGCAAGGCAATGGACACCTGACTTTTTCTAGGCCATTTGTTGCGGACTCGGCCAAAGCATCCTTTTCCGCCGCAAGTCCTTTCAGCGAGAGAGAGAGAGCAAGGTCATTTTCCTACTGCTATAAGCTAGAAGTGCTATGTTCTTTCCAAGCCGTTCAGGTGATGTTCTTTCCCATGATCCATACATTGATATTGGGCTGAGTGGGTGGCGGAGGGTGTGTTTTTGTTCCAAGTCCACATCTTTGGTAATTCCGAATAGCTTGCGCTCCTGCACACGAAAAAACCCCGCAGCAGCAATGACGGAAGCACATGGGATTTCAACAAAAGCACATCACAGATCGAGTTGCGGCGCAGACCTTTTGGTAGGCCCAGACCGATACTGATGTTCATTCCGTGCTGGTTGCCAGCATCGGCAGCTGGCTTCACCGGTCGATCCAATGCTTGTTGGGTCGATCCACATGCTCCATGGTCCTCGCACCTTTCGTGCCATGTGGCCACTGGGAGAGTACCCAAAGTGGACTGCTGCCCCACAGAATTGTATTGTTCTTGGGAGTCTATGCGAAGGGTCTAGTGTTCCTTAGGCGTTTTTGTTGAAGTTTGCCAGGGGATGGATTCACTTGGTCGATTGACAGTTCCCTGTCTTGAGAAAGTCAGAACAAGACCCAGTGACTCTGATATCCACTTGATATCACTGGATCATAAGACCTGGCTCCATGAACAATCGGCCACCGCTGCAAAGCCATGTTTGTCTTTGGTCTAGGACCTGGGAGTCCTCAAAGGTGTCATCTTCAGGAACCAGAAGCTCTCTGCCACACCACACGACACCAGTGAGGATGATGCATTTCACACACACATTCAAACCATCCTTGCGACTTAAGAACATCTCCAGCTCTCATGCTTTTCTGGGCCAAAAAAAAACAAGCACCAAAATAGACTGCCGTGTTTTTCGTCTTCGGCTGAAGTCCATCCCAGGAGCTCTTCGGAGATCGCAAGGTCTTGGACCTCGCCGTGTCGAAGACTCGATGCCGCTGGGGCGGTGGTGAAGCGGAGGTGTTCCGGTGGGATCTGATCAGATGAGGCGCCAAAAATCGGACAACTAAAGCAAGAAGAACCCTCTGAGATGGGAAGGTCATGGAAGGTCTAAAATCCCATAAGTAGCCTTGAAAGTGTTCATTGGATCATTCCATATACCATGAGTCACTACCCCGGCATCCACCTGAACATCGGGGTCTTGGGGATGACCTGTGTTGTGGGATGGCCCAGTTAACCGGCCCTATACACGAAACCAAGCAACCTAAACCTCATTGCACCTCGGTCATTGCACCGCCGAGGTTTGGCCATCACCGAGAGTTGACCTGCCGCCCCGCGGAAAAAGAGAACACTCCGCCGTTGGGCCGGCGGAGCTTCGGAGCAAACGTCGGCAGACGTGGAGTTTCGGCCCGAAGCGAAGGGAGTTGGGAGGCGGAGCCCCGCCATGGAGAGTCTGACCCTTGCCATGGGTCCAAGGATTCTTGGGGTGAGTTTAATTCAACAAACTGGCTACAGACCACTTGCCATTAGGATGTTTGTTGCGGGTGTGGCTCAAGAAATGGGTGACCAGGGACCAACAGCTTGGAGTCCATGTTTCTAACAAAAAGGGTTTGACAGGGGTGTACCCCACAACCGTACCTATATTCGTTTCCCAACTTCTACCCATAGGATTCCAATCAATATTGCCATGTATCGAAGAACCATGTTCTATGTTTCATGCGTGCCGCGCCCAAGCTGAGGCTACAACTGTTAGAGCCTCTCCTCAAAGCCAGGCAGGTGGTGTGTTGTGACTTTTCGCGTGGCACACCACATGGTTCAGGAGACTGTTGGGGTCAGGCACCATGGTTCATGACTCCATGACTACCTAAGTTTGAAATGACTCGGTTACAATCACCAGCAATCTCTTCAATGCACTTCCAAAAAAAAAATATATATATATATATACGTATTATATAACTATTTGATCAAAACCAGGCATCGATAGCCCAGGTTAAGCCCCTGCATCACCTTTCTTTGCTAAAGACCCTCATTGATGGATATGGTAGCTCTTTGACGTTGCTCACTGTTTTGCGGTGGATATGGTAGCTCTCCGCAAGGTCCTGGTACATCAGTCATGGATGTGGCGGTTTAGTCGCCCCGTGAGTCGTAGCAGTGAGTGGAACACAGTAGTGGAACTCTTGTTTTTTCGTCGCTGGGCACGAGCGGAGTACACGATGTTTCATGCCACCGTGCAAAAAGCGTGTCAGAAACCTAGCTGGACCATGCTGGACCACCCCCTCAAGATTGATTTGCCTTGTTCCATGTCTTCGGTTTTGCTGAATCACAGGCAAATCCATTGGAGTTTCTGGCCTCGTAGACACTGTGTGAACGAAAAATCTTCCAGACCAAGCAGGAAGTGAGTATCGTCCTGCACATCAACCCCCATGGGTGGCGTCGACCCCCATGGGTGTCGTCTGAAAAGGAGAAGGGAACGGTCGAATATTCTCCTAATACCTCTTGGACCTGTAGGTTTGGTTCCACAGAGGTATTCCTTTTGGTGACAAGACCAGGTGCGCTTGCAGCTCTTGCCCCACTGCCGAAGCCGTCCTCAAAACGGGGAAACCCTCCCTCCGTCCGTAGGCGCGTGGTGGTTTTGCGCTTCGAGGGCGAGGTGGACATGGTCTCAGCGTGTGGGCCCCTGGATGGACCAGGCGTGCGGAGGAGCCGATCAAAACGACCTGGATGCCTTGGCAGCTTGAGCCATGGAGATTGAATCCATGGAAGTGAAAAGAGTTCGATGGTTTGTGGTTGACCTGTGCCCTTCCTTGGAAGGAGCATCTTAGATCCTATAAGGGTGTGGATTCTGGGCTCCGGGCACTGTGAACTCCATCCACTAACCACCTCTATATATAGCTCATGCTTGGAACACCTTTTCCTTTCAACTATGGCATAACTATGGCATGTTTCACCCGTGGTTCATCAGTATTGATAGCCTTGAAGCTCCTTGAAGATCCTTTACCAACATCAGATATTGGAAGCATGCATACAACATTCTGCTGTCTTCAAAATCCACAACAGATCTAATGATCAATGTCAATCGAAGACTTTCAAGCTTCACTGACAATCACTGACACACTCGGGAAATTGCGTACTGACTGATTGCGGTTTGCCACACACCCACCTAATTGAAAAACCAAAGAAACCAGGAGGAAGTACAAGTAAGGCGGTCTGATCATGACATATGAGTCTCAAATCCTTAAACAGGTCCAGGGCGTCCAAAGGTTTCAGAAGACTCCAGACATGCGATGACATCGGCGACGAATGCTCACATCTGCCGACCTGAATCATCCTGCAACAGCCTGAAGACCTCTACGATGGGAGAATGGCTAAAACATTGACAAAGCTGACGGTTCAGGAAGGTGATCAGCCTTCATTGCACACGGTAGGTCATGGATGCCGTGTGCTACGCTCATGATGTCCCCCGCTGAGCTACAGCAACAGGTGACCTATGATTCCAAGGTGTACACACATGCCTCCCCAAGGGGGGGGCGAAGGATCAAGTAGGGCTTTGGCTTATGTGCGCGAATGCGCGCAAAAGGGACAAAAGAGAAGACATGACAAGAGGACACGTGTTGCCGATGAAAGGGAATCGGGCCACCTGTAACCTATAGTTACTAGATTGCAAGTAGAAGTGCACGTATACGCTAACGGCCGGACCGATGTGCGCGCAAAAAAACAAAAGGAGTGAAATGACCGGACATGAAGGCGGAGAAGACATAAAAAGAAAGAGGAAAAGAGGTGTGTGTGTGTGTGTGTGTGTGAACCTCGCCTCGTTTGTGCAGGTGCGCGCTGCGTGTGCACCTGAGGTAGGGACTGGCCCCACCAGACCGAAAACTACGGCTGTGTGGCCTACTCCCTGCCAAAGTGGCTGGCTGCTCGGGCCACCTCAAGTCTGCTCAAGCTCCATCCACGTTGGCAGATTCGACATTTGGCGCAAGCCTGCTCCGTCCGCTGTGGACTACTCTGCTCTGGCCGGGAGAAATTGCCAAACCCCTGCTCATCAAGACCACGGAGGGCACTCTTCGGGCTCACTCCAGGCAGGCACCAGGCCACCAAATGAAAAAACTTCAGAAATGAAGGGGATGTGCAAGTACAAGGCGGTCTGATCATGACATGTGAGTCTCAAATCCTGAAAGAGGCCCGGGGCGTCCAAAGGTTTCAGAAGACTCCAGACATGCGATGAGATCGGCGACGAACGCTCACATTTGCCGACATGAATCACAACAGCCTGAAGACCTCTACGATGGGAGAATGGCTAAAACATTCACAAAACCCTTCCCATCCACCACGGTAGCTTTGTTGCACAAAGTAGGTCAAGGATGCCGTGTGCTATGCTCATGATGTTTCCTGCTGAGTTGTAATGATTTCAAGGTGTACACACACATACGTACTGAGTGCGCCAACAACCCGTGAAGGCCTGAGCGAAAAGGTTGCTTGAGTAAAGCAGGTCCAACAGGTACTAGGGTCATGCATGCAAGGTAAAATATCAAATCATCTTCCGACAGACGATCGCAAGTCTCCAAGTTCGTGTTTGCCGACCGACCTCCACCGCAGAGTGAGATGCATCTACGAACGCCACAGCCAGCATACCACTGCAGTGCAAGGAGTGCCTTCGTTGAGTGGGGACTCCCAAGACTGCGCACCACCCCTGCAAAATTTATAGAACGTTAAATGATCACATCATGCAGAGTTTTTTGATGGTTGAGTGTTGTTCGGCACGTGCGTTCTCCATCACCTTTCCATGAATCCAATGAGGTCCCTGCAACGATATTTGCGACACTGCCAAAAGGGAACCCCACTAACTTCCCTTTCAACTGTTTCTCCAAGGTCCTTGATCTTGCGGGCTTCCCGGCCTTGTCCTGCCTCAGTGGGGTGCCCAGTGAGGAAAGGCCCTTCGAGCTGTGTCGCCTGTGAGGATGTTCTTGTTTGATCTTCAGTTTTTTCAATCAAGGAACCATGGAAGATTCGGTCAGGCGACAGCGCACTGAAACCTAGTCTGAAACCTACATTGTGGGGTTTGGAATATGGCGCAATGGGTCTCCGGATAGCCTATATTGGTGAACCATGGCCATATCCAACTGTACTTCAGACTGTGAGTCCAGTGCTGGAAACAACTTGCAGGTGCCCATGCAGGAGAGCTGGCAGCGCGACTTTGTGCCTGGCACCTTTGGCACTGCCTGGGGCCCTGAAACCGAAGATTCAGCTTCATGTTTTTGGGAGATTGGAGGGACCGGGGTCCAATAGCAGGGGTGTCTATTGACCACCCCCTCCTCCATCCAGAGCATTTCGGTCATTGCTTTGTTCTGATCCAGGCCCAAACCTGTGAGGTTCCAGCTGGGCCTACTTGAGGGGACTATTTTCACAGTTGGGAAGCCTCAGCTCCGAAATCCGGATGATCTTAGGATATCCTAGGGATAAGCCCAGTTAGGGTCTACTTAAAACTTGTTCAGGGTTGGTGCACATTTCTTTGCTAACTTGCATCCCTACTTGCCCATGTTCTTTCACTACCATGACAGATCCGACGGTGGTTGCAACTGGTGTTGCACTGTCGGACAGAGATGGACAGAGCTTCCGGCTGTGGCAGCCGAGCATGTTGTGGAAGAAGGGTTTGTTGCAAGACTGTCCTTATTTTCAGAGCCAATCCACCCCTTCATCTGAGCTCAAAGCAATTAAGATCAAGGCTGATGGACACCAAGAAACGATGCTTGTGTGACCCTGGTACCTGGGCCAGCTCAGAACTGATGTTCGACACACCCTCGTTCTCCGACGAACACAGGAAGTTCTAACCAGCCGCTGCTTGGAAGACTAGTATTATAATGCATTATATATGTTTTTCCCTTTAAACCGGCTTCTCCACTTCCGTGTTGGTTGAAGAGAGGGTCACCTGTGATAGTCAGGACATGGGAGTGGAGCATTGCCCTCTTTGGGGTTCCCCAACGAAAGGCTGAAAGGACGGATCCAAAAAAAGATCGATCCAATCGGGTCCTCGTGATCCTCGTCTTTGGCCGAGCCTTTCATTCATTCCATAATAGTAGGATCCTATTTACGGTCGACATCACCTCTCTTGGTCCCCTCCCTCCGAACAAACCACGCGTTCCTTCGCGTGAGCAGGGCAGCCTCAACGCTTGGCTGCAAGAGGCGGAACGGATCAGGGCGGGGCCCCGCTGATGGGGTGTTCATCCGAGCAGCCAAAAGAGTTGAACGGTGAAGCAGCAAAAGGGTGTTGGAAGCTGTTCTTAGGTCTCCGGGTGGGTCAAGACCAAAGAGGTGTTGGGCAGGGTCAAGAGCTGTCTCATCATCTCAACCAAGATTTTGGCCCAGAGGGCTTTGCTTACGACTCTCCATTGAAGAATGAACATGTCTTGTGTACAGGAGCCACACTTTGTTGCAGAGGTCGATAAATAAAGGCAGATTTGACCAAATTGAGACGCGAGTCGGGCTTGCAGATGTTTGCAGTCTACGGACCTACGCAGAGGGAGCTTCGACTACGGGGCATTCGTCAGCTCCGGATCCATACCTGATACAGCTCCGTAGAAGCCTTTGCCCGGCGTGCGGAGTCGTGGCATCAATGCCATCGTCGAGCGGATGGGCGAATCTCGCGGATGCAGCATGGCTTGCTATACGCCCGCTCAAAAGAGCTCAGTCTGACTGATGAAGAAGTAGATGAATGTAGATGGAGAATCTACCTCAAGTACTTCAAGTTGATTGTGGAATGGCTGATCCCCTGTCCAGGAGACGGTCTGACGAGTATTGGCAACTATCTTGTCAATACAATCTTGACAAAGCGCACGTGTGATGTACTCAGTTACTCCACCAAGGCAAGACTGCAGAGTTGCTGAATAAACGCGGGAAGAGATCGCAATGAGTCGTTGATGGACCATACTATATGACCATATGATATTACGCTGTTGCCCAGTTTGGTGACCATTTGGGCCAAGAATATGCTTGGTTGACCGTTGACGTGGAGCGCTCCAGCTTTGTGCCCACACTAGATGGTGGTGATTGCCGAAAGATAGCCACAGCACCTTTTGCTCACCATTGGTGGACCCCACATTGGGTTTACATTGAAATCAACCGATGGTGACCTCACCATGTTCCTGAACTTTGACATGGCCCTTGCTGATGGAGCTTTCAGCACACAAATTTGTGAACGCCTGCTTCTTAATTTGGGTCACGTCTTTCTATGTCACTTTGGGGCTCTAGGATATGTATTGGTGTCACAGTGGAGCTCATCTGGCTCTTCTTTGTTGAGTCGGCACGCAGACCTTGGTGCCTGTATCACTCGACTCTTGGATGACCACCCAAACTACTGTTTCTTCAAAAAGCGGACTCATAGTTTGACTTTGGGAAAGCGCACTACTTTTGAAATTGTGCCGGGAAGCGCGAAATGGTGTCCGGATTGCCTAAAATTGTGTCAACTTGCAGTGTGAGTTGCAACTCCAGTTTGGCCTTGGTGGCTCCAAAAGCATTATGAATCTCAGAAAGTATGAATTAAAGTTCTTGATGAAATTGATACGACCTATCACTGTTCATCCGCTGTCATGAAGAGTGAGTATAGTACAACCCTTTGGGAGGTACTTTGACAAGCTTATTTTGGTGAAGGACCAAGAGCTTCTGGACAGCTACCATCGACTCCATGCAAGGCATGGCTCCTCCAAAAAGGATTGCTAAATGGCAGGCCACAAACCGCTGGCTTTGCAGCAAGTTTGCCATTATGCTCAACTAGAAGTGTTTGTCCAAACCAAGGACTGGTGAAACCACCTGTGCTCCATGACCGCAGGAATATACCCTGTTTGGACGTGTCCACGTCCAGGGTGCGGCTTGAAACACACTTGGACACCTAGCCATTGAGGCAGACAGGTTGGACACCTAGCCATTTGTGTGAGCATTATTTTATCAGTCAGCTGAAAAAGAAGCACATGCAAATCAAACATGAAAGCGACTAAGTCAGTCCTTGCACCGCTGTAGAATGCGTTGCCATCTCCCCAATATTGAAGCATTTCCTTGCCTCTGTGACACAGCCCAACGGGCTTTGCCAAGCATTTGTGCAATGGCAGATGTCATTGATCAATCAATACCAATACTGTAAGTCTTTAACGGCTGCACAACGCATTTTCCAGATGCTTATATATCCCAGGTTTGGCCAACTGCCCAGTTGCTTCGCAGAGAGGAAGCATAAATTCATTTCAGCTTTGGCCACCAAGCTCCTTAATTGAAATTGAACTTGTTCCAAGGCCTCCCCACAAAGAAGACCAATTCCAAGCGTTTCCAAGCCAGTGCGCCTCTTGTGACCCAAGAATGTCAACAGTGGTTCTACATGGTCTTGCCTGGTCTTTTGGGCCCATGCCGCCCTGCACGTTCTGGGGTGGCAGGTGGTGGTCCAAGAGCCGGGACGTAGTTTGTGCCCGCGCCCCCACTCCCTTCTTTGTCTTTAATTTTGCTCCTGAAGTCCGGGCCCTAGAGTGAAGAGTTTGCTTAGACGTTTCTGTGCAGGGGACCACTGAGTAGTGGACCATTGAGTGAGTATGCCCAAACTTTCTTGGGGTGATTGGAATTTGTCATACTCACTCAGTGTTGATTGCAAGAATGATTGGTGATTAGTGTTGATGTGTATTGCAAACATACCACCAGTGAGTTTCGTGTTGATTAGAAGTGGTGAAAGATGAACTGGATTCATCGGTTCTACGGCTATGGCGCCGATGAACAAGGTGTTTGAGCACATACTCAATGGGCATCTTTTCGGGTGCCCAGCTGAACAAACCCACTTCTCTTCATTATGTTTTTTCCGAATGTTGTTGCGGCAAGTGCCGCTGCAGCCCTGCTGCAGCCCTGCTGCAGCCCTGCCAGGTCAGTAGCACCTCCTCGCGCGTGCCACCCTTATGGTTCGGACCTTTGAGCAAAAAAAACAGTGAAGAGCAAGGTTTTTCAGCCCAGCGACCCTGGCCCGAATCCGTGGGCTTTGGAGAGCACCCCCTCAGGGCCTCGGATTGGGTGGGATGATGAGATGTTCGGCAACACCATTTCGGTGCCGTTCTTGTTTGCGTGCACTGCTCAATCAGTCCATGTGTGTATACTTTGGGAGTGTCCCATTGCCAACAGTCGGTAACACAATTATCACTCCTTTAGAGAAAGGCGAGGCCTTTATGAAAGAAATGGGAGGTAACTATTGGGAAAGGCGAGTGTCCGATTTTCCAGTCGGGCCGTAATCCCATTCAGTCACGCAGGCGTCAATGTTGCGGTGTTTGTGGCAGAAGGGTCGCCGAAGTCGCAAAATTCAAGGTCGTTCCTTCTTCAAGGTGGTTCCAGTTGCCATTCCGTTCGGGTGGTAAGCATTGGATTCACTCGCGACTCGTGGCTGTAAAGATTTGCCACGACCGATCAGTTCACTTCGGAAAAGATTGCCACGACCGTGCCTCCGCGGATAGTTCCATGGGTGACAGTGGGTGTATGTGGTGGACCAGCGATGACCAGCGTGTCGTGATGTGGATAATGTTGTTTCTTTTGATGATCGATTTGAGTAGTTGCAATTGGTCTCTTATGTGAGAAAGGGAGTTACTCGTAATTAGTGGAGCGTGAGAAAAAGAAGAGAACATGGGCTCCCATCCAACATTAAATTTCATACTCAGATTGCATTAATTAAGGTATGCCTTTCGCGGTTTGCTTCTCGGATCAATTGATAGGCCGCCCTTTCACCTTCTTCTGCTTCCGGATGTGTTTCTCGATCTTGATTTGCTTGAACGATCCTGTTTTGTCTTGTCAATGTCAATGATCTCAATGGCCTTTCCTTGTCGCGTAGTCGCAGCACGGCACGTGTTTAAAGGATTTTAAAGGTAGCTTTAGTGGTCCATGAAGACCTGAGCAAGGGTTCTTGGTCATTTTCCTGACACTGGCTTGGGATGTCAATGGTGATGCTTCCAATGAAAGGACATTTGACACTAGTATCGGTTTGATGTCGCTATTTCCACAACCTGGGATACCGAGTTCAGTGGGCGTGGCGCTGTTCTCAGCGCTGCCACCACCACCCAGCACAACAGCGGCAACGGCAACCATTGATTTCCATGCTTCACAGCAAGGCTGACAGCAGGTATAAGTTGCATTCCAGCAGGTTTTGGGTGCAATTGGCCGGGTCTTTTGTGAAACAGACTTCGAAGCAGAACGACTTCCGGCAAATGAAGCCAGGTCTGAAAGGCCCCGGTACACTTGCGTACTTCCTCACACGGTTTGGACGCCTCCTTCAATTGTTACGTTTTCATGTGGAGGCCCTTCCAATCCGAGGATGGACGTGCAGAGCAGGAGCAGGAGGTTCCGTTCCTCATTGGTTGGTTGAGCCCCTTTAGACACAACCCCTCACCTGTTTTCTGATCACCTGCAGAGACTATGGAACAGGGGTAGGGATGGATCGGGGAGCTCTTCCTTTCTGGCACCGACCAAGGTCACGCTTGGCCGCTGCGACAGAAGGCCTCGAGGTGAACGCCAAGGTGAGAAGAACGACGCCGACCTTGGGCCAGTCGCGACGGCTGACTCGACGGCTGGTAGAGTAGAGGCACTGTAAATGGTCATCCCAAGGGACCATGGAACCCACCCAAGGGGCCATGGAACCCACGGTCACTGGTGTGAAAACGCCTCTTTTTTCCCATGGAGACCCACAGCCCAAAAGCTGTTTGGTAGCTTGGGGACGGACAGGGGCGAGGCAGGGGCCGAGGGACCGGCGGTGCTGCCAGTGAATCAGTTGGGTAGGGGAACTTCACTTACAGCAACGGTCCGAGCCCAGGTCTCGCCAAAGCAATGTATATAAATGTACCGTAAACATCACATGACCTTGTAAAAACCAGATATATATATATAATATAGCTTATTATTTGATACTTGTACATGTTCAAAAGCTAGGTAATTCAAGAATTCTTCACTAATCTCAGCTGAGTTCGCCAATTGATCAGTCGTCAAAATTCATTTTTGCAGCCAGGCGTTCGCCCTGATCCTTTGTGCGCAAGCCTTGTGGGGGGGCCTTTCACTTGACGGCTTTTCGCATCGGAGGACGAGTTGCGTAAATGTAGGGACGTGCCATGGTTGCATAATACTATATCATATCATTATATAGTGTTTAAACATATTTAAATATATCGTGGTGTTTGGGAATTAAAACAGGACCCACAATAAAGATAATCTGGATGCTAACTATTTTGTATGTGTTTTGCATAGGTAGTCATAAGTTGTGCAAAAGTCCGCACCCCGCACATGAAATGATTGTCTCCTTCAGATGATTATATAATTCATGGTGTTTTTGTGCAACATGCTGCCATTGCAACGATCAACACCGGAAGCACAACCTTGGATTGCCTAGAGCCCTCTATACCTAGAACCTGAGTGACCTGTAGTTTGAACCACCAGCCACCCAAAATATTGGCTTTTCCTATCAAAGCAGGGGTCATGTCTTAGGGGTTTACTTACCCTCCTCATCCCTCCTCAAGGAAGTTCTTCCTTTTCTTTTGGATTCCTTGCCTCTTTCTTGCATCCCATTCCTGCGAGTTACCTCAGAGAACGACTTCCCAGCAAGCTCAGAACAAAGAAAACCGGACTCCCATAAATTGGAGGGTCCATCCCAACCTTCCAAGAAGATGGACGGTGGGTAATGTATGGATCTACAGCCACTCGATGACACAGGTCCAGTGAGACTGTCCCAGAGGCCATGGCTGCGTCTTGGCACTTGACCATTCAATTTGATGGAAGAAACATAATGAAACTGACGTCCTAGACAAATACAAAGTTCCTTTCAGAAGGAAGGTAAGGGTTGAATAGGATAGGGCAAGATAGTAAAGCTGGCATAGGGTAGGATAGTTTTTGCCATCCTTGCTATCCCATTACTCTTCAGTTCTTTGGCTTTGTTTCGTGTCCCTACCACTTCAGAACGTCCGTTTGACCTCCTCATGAAACTGACCATCCCCGCTTTCAGCTATATAGTTGTACATTTTGTTGCTGGGTCAACCTTTTGCAACATTGAATAGTGAGTCTAGTTTAAGGCATGCAGCACCAGCATGGTCAAATTTGTACCCTGCTGCTCAATTGGCTCATTACGGTCGATTGTTGGACATGAGACATGGACATAAAAGGACTTCAGGAAATCAGTCCTTGGGATTTCTCTCGGGTGAAAACTTCAGTTGTTTGAGCAAAAGTGGATTACCAGCTGAGTGCGGGGTGGAACCAGCTGATTTGACCCACAAAGTTTGGCCGTGGCATCGCCTGTTTCATTTGGAAAACAGGCTAAACTGGTCTATTAATTTAACCAGGTTAATTTAGCTGGTTCATTTCTACCCGGTGGAAGACGCAGTCTTTCCAGAGAGAGAGAGAAAGAGAGAGAGAGAGAGAGACAGAGCGAGAGCGACACCAGTTTGAGTTTGTTATTGCACACAACTTCACCAGACTGCCAGACGCTGCACAACTTTGAAGATGCAGATGATGTAGGCTCCCGTGGACCACCAAGACGACCAGTGTGCTGAAGGGTTGAAGGGTTGGGGGGCCTTTAAAGGAGTGCATCTTCAAGCAAAGAGCCTTTTTGGTCCCGTTGGTCCTGGACAGGTGATGTTTGTAGCGAGTGCGTGGCGCTCACTGTGTCACTTTCCCCGCTGAGTCCGACATCCTACGCATGAGATAATCTGGGATTCTCCTTGAGGTTGAGTTACCACGAAAGGCCATAAAATTTACGAAATTGGATTCAGGCCCAAGTATTATTCTGATGGAACACCAATCGGTGTTATGACCTTCACAAAATCCCAAGCCGCCCAAGCGCATCCAGCTAAGACCAACCCAAATGACTATGAGCGAAAGCAACCTGAAATCTTAAAATTCCGCGTCCTTTGATGCTTGCGACCAAAAACACTTGAGGTCGCTGGCCGCTCCTTCTGTGAAGACCCACACCGGCCGGTGCCATGCCTGTCTGCGGGGGAGCACAGCGTGCGGACGTTGATTCGAAGGGGAGATGTCGTCCCATCCGCTGGCTTCCGCTGCACCAGTTCGTGTCACAGAAACTACGTGTAGGCTGGAAGTGCTGACTGTTTTCCAAACACCAAGCACTGTAATCTCTGACTCCTTGATTTCATGGCGCCAGAGTGGATGGTTGGATTCTTGTGGCTGGAGAAGAGTCCCGTCTGAGCAGAGCATGGAATTTCATGAATCTACGCCGTGGTCTGCTCCGTCGTGGTGGGAACAGACTTTTCCAGATCCCAATATCACCCATCCAAAGGCTCATCCAAAGGTCCAAGGGCCTTCTCTAATTAATCAGCAGATCCTCTATCCCACAGAGATTACCCAAATGATTGCCCATCATTACGCTTGGTTGACTTGCAAAAGAAGACACCAGACCAGCCCGAGTCTCCGCTGGTCCAAATCCGCTTTTTTTTTTCGCTTGGGAGGCAGTGTCCTTTGGACATGACTTCACCTCAGAAAGACTTCAAGCCTTGGAGGATGTTCTCCCAGCCGCTGGGAGTGGTGAGGGAGAGTTCTCCCGCGGAGCGGATTCGCAAGAAGGAGCTATGGCTATATAGGTGATTCATGGTGAATGCACGTTAGAATAGCTTGCCGTAGCTTGGATGTGTTCAAGAAGGCTTTGTGCAGGTCCTAGTCGAAAATCCGAAAGAAATCTCACAAATCCAAAGCATCAGAAGATCCAAACATACACATTGTACAAACAAAACACACAAACATATCACGACAATATCTTAAATATCAACACACAAAGTCTGAAATTGTTTTACGGACCCTGGAAACACTAACATATACACATATTTTGAACATATTCAAACAAGCATATATAAGCAAAAACATGTTGAACAAGTCTTCAAACAGCTTGGAGCAACAAACATAATAAAATAGACTTTGTCAATGTCTGGAGAACTAATTGCAAACATCACCAAACACGGTGGAACACAACTGAGGTAACATGTTAAAATAAAGTATTTGTAGGAAGTCGAGCAGACAGCGACAGGTCCTCATCTGGTTGGAATGGGGTCATGGGATTCCTGATTCCGAATTCTTGTTCATCGACCAAACATCTTGGGAATGAGAACCTTAGATCTTTCTTCAACGTTGAGTTTATTGCGCAAACTACATCCTGGAATTAGACTCGAGTGGGGATTTAAAGTGTAAGTGACATTGGATTGAACTTTTGCTGGATGTGACACCACAGTTGCTGGGAACAGCTTGAATGATGTGATTGTTTGCAATCATTATTGTTTGACGATACCATTGTTGTTTGGACCATCAACTTGTGCATTTTCGAGCGCGTTGGCAATTTTGAACGCCCTGCGGATCCACATGTTTGGACCGAACCGAAATGAAAGCACTGCATGGTCGATTTGGACCCAAACCCACTGCACATACACTCCCACTCACTAACATGGAAGCGAAAACCATTCCGTTTTTTTTCCAAAGGACATGCCATCCGCTTCCATTTTAGTAAGCCAGAGCACACGGTGTTTTTGCTTGGCCCGTGAAGGTCTTGCAGGCCGTTTAGGCCGACGGCAGCGCAGCAGCCATTTCATGACAGATGACTTGGCCAAAGAGATGGTATTTATATAGAAGGCACGGCTCCTAAGCTGGCAGTAATCATCCCAAGAATTCCCAGAACATGAGCAACTCACTGTGTATAGTGAAGTTTCCCGAAAAATCTAGGAGCCAAATCATTAGTTGGAGCGCTTCCTTGAAGAAGCATGAGCTATCCTGCGTCCATACTAGTCGCTGACTTGTAGGCACTAGCTGCCTCTTCTACTAGCTAGCGCTACTATCGGCCTACCCCCGTAAATGAAAAGAACAAAAACGCGCACAACAGTAATGAACAGTATATATAAATCACTTTTGGAAAAAATGCAATCGATGGTTGCCAGGTTTTGTGGCCTCACGTTTTCCACCGATCAGCCGTCGGCCATGGGTGGCCACGGTGGTGTTTTCGATTCATGTTGTCCGGTCCACCGTGCTCTTGCGGTTTCAAGCTGACTCTCTTCTGCAAACGAGGAGCTGTGCGCATGGTCTGGGGGATTGTCCTTCAATGTGGACGAACCAGTGATGTGCGGGACCTGGAGAGGCTTGGGAAGTAGGGACGAGACTAAGCACTGATTTCGCAGCTGATCCCGGTTTGTTTTTGCAGAATATGTTCATCGAACCATGGGAAGTACTGTACCATACTGTACCGGAAAAAAATGGATACCTGACGCTGAGAAAACACTGTTTGCCGGTGTTCATCTGTTGGGTCGATGGGAGAATTTGCTTTTTGGGTCAAGGCTGAAGCCCGCGGCCGAAGGCCTTGCGGCACACCTCTTCAGCCAGGCGAAGCATGTGTTCCCACCGCGAGTCGCACGAAGAACTGTGGGCACCGACCGGGATCTCGGGTCAAGAAGAAAGTCCGCAGAGCTGTGACCTAAGCAGTGAGAAGATCAAAACTCCCATCATTCCATCATGTGATTCATACATGGCCCGTTTTGAAACTGAGTTGGTTCATGACAAATATGTTTATATAATTGCGTTTCATCCAGACAACGCGTTTTTTTGAGCATAACTTGATGCTGATATTAAACATATTACAATTACAAGATTAAACTATATTATAGATCTGCAGCCCTTTCTCCCCGAACAATATTCTGTTTTGGCCTTTTCTACTCTTTGGGCTTATGTAATACCGGTATTTTCTCCTTTTTTCGCCAGTGCCGCCAGCGCTCGGAGACTCTCCAGACTCCAGTCTCCATCGGACCCGGCCAGGTGAGCGACGATGGGCGTTTCTTCGAGCGACGGCGCTACTACGCCCAGAAGCAGGAGCGACGCAGCTACGCTGCGCCGGAGGAGGGTAGTGAACAGCGGACATCCACCGGCGGCATGTGAATGATTCATGAGATACTTAATTTGAAGCATGGTAGCTGTACCTCAAGTACCACGGGTGGCGGTTGCTGGGGACGTAGTGCTTGCTGTACCACCGGTGGTTGAGTAAATCAACGTGGGCCGCGTTTGCCTACTACCCTCACGAGTCCGCAATGCGGTGTCCGACAGCGGTGGCCACACCAACGAGTGTTCCAAAGGTCGAATTTGCAACAACACTTGTAGCGGCCTTGCTCCGTTCGTAGCCATGCCCTTTGTTACTAGTAGCGAACCTTGTTCCTAGTAGTAAGGCCAGGAGCTACTAGTAGTTTCTTGTTTTGTTCATAGCGATGCCCTTTGTAACTTATCTAAGGTGTATCTATATAAGGATGTAACTTATCTAACGTGTAACTTGTCATCAATTGGGGATGTGTATCTAAGGTGCGGGGGTATCAATTGCGTCGAGTAATGCAAGTTTCAACTTCCTGGGTTGCAAATGCTATTGTTTTTTTTTTTATTATTTTTGTTGTTTATCAACGTAGGAAAAGACTTGCCCATCTACTGGTGGATAGTTAGAGCAGTTGAGATATTTGGAACCTATAGTGGTTGGGGTGGTTTTTGGACGCCTAAAAAATCCAAAAATCCTTTCAATTCCAAAAGTTCCCTTTCTAAGAGCTTGTTCCCTTCGGTTGGAAGACACCTTCTTCTCCCACCTTCTTCTTCTCACGGAGGAATTGGGCACCTGCTTCATGGAGCTGCCCAGGTTGGTCAAGTGCCTGGAAGGTGCGCTGACTTGCAAATGGGATCGAACCGAAAGGGCTATTGAAACGTGAACAAAAAAAGGCACAGGGACCAGAAACCAATCAAGCAATCAACAAGCAGCACCCGCCAACAGGTCTCCTAACAGGTCTCCTTTGGTGGCTTTTGCAGATCGACTTAAAAGTCACGTGTGGGACTGTCCTGGAACAGTCATGTGAAGTGTATCTATTTCTTTTGGGCTGGATGGCAGGGTTTCAAAGCCTTGGCTTTGGACCTTAGGGTTTCAAAACCCTAACCCCTAAAAAAGCCTTGTCCACATGACGGTTGGCAGAAGCCACTGAAAAAGAACCCAGTGGCTCCACTCGTTACCGAGAGGAGATGTTTGGTATCTTCGATCGGCCGAACGGAACGGACCTTGGACTTCCTTGGACCTATTCCGACTTTGCCCTGAACCTGGTGAATCTTGTGAAGCTACGCTTGTGAACCTGCCATGCTCCATGATTGCCCGCCCTTGCTCTCCCGCCCTTGCCAACCCCCCCGTATACGAACCCTATGAATCTTCAGACGACGGCGCAGCAACACTTCGAGCATGATGACACACTGTCGCCCTGGATATGAGTTTGACGGCGCGGGGCTTTTCGAAATCGGTTCATTTCAAGAGTGTTCCCGGATCCCTGGAAGCTAAAGGGGTTCTCTATACTCTCCTTAGAGCCAGATGGCTTGGTTTCCATCAATCTTTTGCTTGCAGCCCAGCCTGGAACCCAGGGTTCCTGGTCTAAACGGTCTAGGCATGTCTAGGCCACTCTGATAAATGCAAGTGATCCAACAAACATAGGTCGGCAAAACAAGTACCAACATCGTTCTGTATGGGCCGCCTTGATCATTGAAGTCCCTGTCAGACCTTGCCCTGAACTTACTCGGTCTCAGTCTCCTTCTTTGTATTCCTGAAATTACAAAGGCGATGTGTCCATTCGTAGTTTGGTTTGGCAAAGTTGCAATAGCTGATTCAGAGTATTCAGATTGATTTTGCTGATGTTGACTTGGGAATAAGATGTGTTATATAACTTGGGCATAAATCAAAGGCCAACATCTTTTGTTTGCCACCACACTCAGCGGATTTCATCCCGTGGCCTGCAGGTGACTCGACCCCATCGGTCACACCGTTGCATCTCCATCGGAGACACTCATGCTCAGGGCTTCCGGCACTGCTCGGGGCACTCAGATGTGCAAGGGACACTGCCGCGACTCACGTTCCATGGAAGCGGATGGCACCCCCCCTGTTCGTACAGGAAAGTCGTCTTTCAAGGGGACTATATGCCATCCACTTATATGGAACGCGCGTCCTCGAGTGTCACCCGGTCAACCCATGTCAACCCTGTGTGATGTTCGGTGCGTTTTCAGATCTTTGTTGTTCGATCTTTTCGTAGGGGACAACCTGGTGGGTGGGTCCGGGATCCACCTGGGAATGTGAGTCCAGACTTTTGCCAGTTCTCATCGCAGATGGCTGTGGTGTCCTATGTAGTATGGACAGGGCAACATGTGTGCTTCATATTACTCAAAAGCATCAACTAAAACATCAAAACATATTCAATGCCTATAAGGGTTACCGGTTTTTATAATGTAGTTGTCACACAAGTTCACAGCTCCTTATGCAAAGCTGAAACTTCACCACATATTGCAGCATCAAAGACACTGATGCACCTTCCCGTGTTCTTCGCTACAATTGCTTCTGAGAAGACTTCTGAAATGAAAGCAAACCACTCTAGGACTCTAGGAGAAAGGACTGCATAATGAATCCCCTGGTATATGCAGAGTTGCTGGGCATTGACAGTCCAGAAGCCGCCCAGCCAAGAAACATGTATGCTGTACCAAAAAAGAGGCACCATGTACTGTCGTGTAGCCGCCTTTTAGCGATCATCGGCTGCACGCCACGCTTCTTCTTTGCGCCAGTATGGCATCGGTCTTTTTGACGAATGCATCGCGAAGGGGCTTTCGGTCTCCACTCGCTGGTTCACTTGAACTCGACGAAGTGACAAGTACGAGCGAGGGATTTTGGTTGAGCAGGCCCACCATGGGTGAGCTTGAGCAAGCTTGAGCAGCTGAGCTTGGTGAAGTTGCCTTGGTGAAGCTGCCGCTAGTTCATGTTAAAAGCAGACTGCCGGACACTGCCGTAACTTGCGGTTGACTGGACCGATATGGCTATATATACGGGTTGCGTCAGAGCATGTAGGACCCAACATCTCAAGTGCCAAACGTTACAGTACATTTGTGCAGTGATTCTTGCCCTTGGTGAACTCGAAGTTGGATGAAGTGTGCATGCAGAAGGAGAGGCAGCCCAGCAGCCCGCTGTTGTGTTTCCTCCATACTGTGACACAGCTGGAGTGCTCCTCCTTGCAGTCGTGCGCAATTTGCTTGCGACCACCTACCAATCCCAAGACCTCCAGCAAGAAAGCATGTTAATGGCATGCATGCGACAATTATTTGGTGTGATACTCCATGATACTCCAAGTATATGACAGTATGTGTGTATCTACGAGATGTACCTTGACCTCTTTGGACTGGACAGCTTCGTCGCAGGTTGGTGAAAGCTTCGTCGCTCATTGACTGTCCCGGTCCCCAAAACCTGGCGACGGGACGGGGATGGATGCGCTGAAGTTGCTTTGGTGGGAAGCGAATAGTCGTTTGGTTGGGGTCAAAGACCAACGACCAGGATCTGAGCAGCCATGATGGGACCAGTACTGCATTTATGAGTGTTTTTGTCCACATGTTTTTGTCATCCAATAAGCAATCGTCGCTTCGCGTGGAAGTGAGATGAATCGAGTGGTTCCCTGCCTCACTTTCGTCAGCCTTCTACTGAAAGCGCAGTGCAGTCTGATCTTTTTTTGTGAACTCTGAACCGCTGACCCTCAGTTGCGAACGGAAACAGAATATGTATGTGTTGGCCCTTTAATTGAAGGACATGTTCAGACGTAGCTTGCGTTTCATGAGAAGATCATAGAAGATCAGCGGCCAAAGGGTGCCATTCGGAACCACCTCGCCAGCACCAGTCGAGGGCTCTTCCGTCGCCATCCGCTCAGATGCCGTACCCTCTGAATCGATGCTCACGGTGCTCTCAGATGTAGCTTGGAGTGGGAGAGAGCCAGAAGACGTGGGATGATTGAATGGAGTGGGATAGTCTGACTGCATAGCTGGGTGATGCTGGGTGTGTCAATGTTTTGTGCGACTCAATACGCGATTAAAGATGATTCCAAAATTCGACCCTTCAGAAGATATACCTTTGTGTGTACTACGTGACATGTGCCTGATTGACAGATGGGTACATTTGGATTGAAAGAAACATGGGGAAACCTAAGACTACCCAATTACCACACTTTGTTTGTGTGCATGTTTGTTTACTCAAGTCATCATACGATTTAAGACACCAAAGAGCAGGATTCCTCTACATCAGTCGTGTTGTGCCAAAGGGCTTTGCCATGCGAATGAGGGTGGCCTTGCAAATATGCCCAGTCCATCACAGTCTACTCCAGTAATCCCGAGTACCTATTTAGAAAAGGATCCCTATTTAAAAAAGTCATGTTGGAGAACCCTAGATACGGTTTATATTTGGTATTGAATTACCGCCCTTTCCAACCGCTACTAAACTACCAATATTGCCGAATTTGGGGAGTTCTTTTTTTAGGTTCCAAAAACAACCCTAACTGCCCACCTCTGTCCACCCTGTCTATCCACCATGACACGCCGTGTTTGCACCAGCAGGCTTTCCTTCCCCCAATGGCACGGACTCACGCAAACGCACTTTCCACCGAGGTCACGCAAAACCGCATGGCACAGCGACATCACCTTTCGAAAGCTTTAGTTGTTAGTCTATATAATGAAGAATCACTATGCTAATAAAGGTTTTTGTAGGGAAAAGGAAGACCCTTCGATCTGGAGGTTTTTTGAATTTTTGATACGAGTTTGACAAAGGACTTTATATTTTTTTCTGGGTGACTTTTTGGTTTTGAAGCCCTGTGCAGGTGACCCTATTTTGGACCACACCAATTTCAGGAACCCCCTATTTTAAAAAATGCGACCGAGGTTTCCTTATTAGGGGGGGGCGCCCGTGTTTTTTAATAGGTGGACAGGATTAATCACATATAAGCACTAAGTCCCCGAACAATCCAGGGCCTCGATCTAGCAATATGTTTGCTTCTTTGGAACTATCGCCATGACGGTCCTAGGTCACCTTGGCCTTGGCTCATCGTTGGTCCAGATCCTTGCGGGTTTGGAGGAATCAATGCAAGGGAGTCTTGTATCAGGAGTCACGAAGGGGGTGCCTATTGGAGGATAGGGGTGCCCATTATCAATTCACTTAGGGACTAAACAATCACCCCTTTGTGACTCCTGGTATATTGGCACGCTTTTTCTGCGCTTCTTCTCAAGTGGATCCAGTGATTTTCTTGCATGAAAGGATTGGATGGTTCGAGCCATGGCTCCTTCGTTTCATGTGGTGTTTTGGATTGTTTGCTTTGACCGGCAGGGTGATCCATAGATCCAGTCAGATCGCGTAGTTGAACCGCTTGGATGTGCTCAGGCTGTGGGCTGAGTAGTACTAATTTTTCAGGTCCGTGTGGGTTCTGGTATATTCCAGTTCGATAAGTGCGGAACATTTAGCAAACATCTAGCAGCATGGTGATGGAGGTAACTGAGAAGATGGCCTCCCCGGGCAGCAAAATATCTAGGAAAGAAATGAGTGTGCAACCCGGGTTGTTTCTCAAACAAGCAGTTCAGATGTCAACAAAGTCTACTATCAGCAACGATGTCTAGATGTGTGGGATTTTGTGGCAAGTTTGACTCCAAACATCTCCAAACATACCACCTTGAGTGTGTGGGAGATTTGTACATCCTTTGCAATGTTTCACATGCACATACATATTTTTTTGGGGGGGGTATTTGACAACCGATGATCGTTGCCTGAGAATGGTCACGACGGGTCCGTATGGATCGATAGGTTCACCATGTTTGACTTAAATGAAAACCTTGTTACACCACGTTTCACCTGAAAACAGAGGTGGATTCAAGCGGTTTCACCTCTGTTTCACTCCGGTTTCATCCCTGTTTCAACTGGCCACTTTGTAGTAACCAATGCAGTACACACGTCGCGGTTCCGTGGTGCCCACCGTCAGGATCCGCCGCGGGCTGCGGGACCTGGTCTTCGGGGAGCCCGGCAGCATCGGCTTGGCGTGGGCGCCCAGGGCAGACGTGGTCGACTCGTGTGGAGCGAAGAGAACATCTCGGACATTGGGGCTGGTGTGAACTCTTTTTTTCGGGGACATGGGTGTTGCAACGATTTTTGGGGTGGACATTTGGGGAAGACATGTTGCAGGGGATTTGTGGAAACCTTGGGGAAAGATTGGGACTGTGAAGGCTGCAGAAGTTGAGTCCATTTTTGGGGGGTCCATGTCTCAAAAATCAATTTCTGGGCTATTCTGAGGTTGGCACAGCTCCCAAATGAATCTGGGGTTTGACACCGTGGGAGTCTTCAATTTTGACCAACTTAATTAACTTGATAATTATATACTGTATCCATTTGTATCCTGTGTTAACAAGTGTTTTAATGCGTATTGGCAGGTTTCGGCGATGGTGAGGGTCTTCTTTTTTTCACTGGGAATCGTTTCACCTGCAGGAATCAGGAACAAGAAGCTACTAGTAACATCTAGTAATATATAGTAGGCAGGAGGGGGGAGCGGATGATTTCCCCAGCATTGACATTCCGATGTCGCCCTTCGGCGAAACGCCCGCGCGTTCGAGCGGGGACCGCCGGGTAGGGAGGGCCCAGTGCCCATGATCCACGGAGTCGAACCTTTCCGTGTCGAACTCCGCTTCTTCCGGCTTCCGCTGTCAGGACTTCGAGGAGCCGAAGCCGGAGGGAGAGGCGAGCGGCGCGCGGCTTCGCGAGGTGAGCCGGAGGCCGGGGAGCCTGGAGATGGCACTGTAGCTCAGTCAGCGCTGATTGGCACACTTGGATTTGATCAGTGAGGCCTGACAATCAGATAGCTCATCCAAGTGAAGAAATGAAGGATGACATCCACTTGGTTTCCACTTGGCTTCCGCTGGTGATGTGGGATAGCACTTGGGCTGAACTTGGGTGAACAATCGGCTCCCCTCCAAACAACCCCAAGACGCTGCTGTTTCGGCAACAACCAGACGGACTCCCTGACACTGCTCGACTCCCAATACAGACCCAATCAGGTATGTTCAATTGCAGGGTGAGCGGTGCACCCCCCGCCCAAAAAAGGTACTGTTTGTTTTATTCCAGTAAAGTTGTTTCAGGCATAACACCCTGATCCGATTTGTTTGCCACCAGAAGTTGACAAAGATAATGAAAGAAGACCACGTGATCTTTCGCAGCAAAAGGCAAACATTCAGTCGTTTAGTCAACGCGGTCTTCCTTGGAGCCTGTTTTCAATGGAATGTTGTCCGGTGTTTTTTTGATCACTTTCCATCACTGTCCAACGCTGGCGGTCTCGGACCTCGGGGCATCAAAGTGAAAAAAAAGCCGTCAAAGGCCCCGTCTTCGGTGTTCGCCTAGTCTGCTGTTGCAGCGACTTTCTGGCACACGAGTTGTGGCATGCGGCATGAATGACACCTGCATGGTGCCCTTCCCCCTCAACGGCAGGGAAGCACGACGTGGAGATTGTGAGGAACTCAGCACCGCATGGTGCCCTTCCCCCTCAACGACTTCGGGACTTTGGGAGCGAACGTGGTCGGTCTGAAGACCTTCCTCACCCCTGTTTACATCGTTGTGCCAGGGATGTAGCTGGATCATGCCGGGTCTTTGGATCTCCGGGAGATATATGAGGGTTTGCGAAAGTGGCCTCTAGCTCGCCATCAAGACTTGGCTGCACAATAACTTGACACGGCATTCAAAAGATGCCACCCACGCAACGTGCAGGCATGCTGCCGAGCCTCAGAATCTCTCAGAACCATCCCCCCCAAATCCCCAAAAGGAATGCATGATCCGGAGCTGCAAAAACATAAGAGACCAGACGGGGGTTGCCGAGATTGGCCGAATTCCAGGGCTTCCCCTCTTTATTAGACAATTGGAGTTTTGATCCGAGCTGATGCAAAAGAACCCACTGATCACACCAGAGGGATGGTGTTCTCATGTGTCTTCGAGCTTGTGACTTCTCAATCCATCCAAATGGCTTTTCACTTCCAACCCGGTGGACTTCGGCGATGGATGCTGCCCTTGATGCGCTGGTCACCACGAGAGAATGACGAGCCGATCGCTACGTTTTCTTCGGTTTTGGGGGGATCCGACAGACCGACCGCTACGTCTGGAGTGACAGACTCGTCTCCCTACTCCTCCCGGGCTCCACCGAGGCGGGCGACGCATCCGCCGGCGTCTGCTTTGAAGATGCAGGTGCTTGAACCTGCCGGTGGATCGCATGATCTGTGCTTTGAAGGAGGAGTTGAGCCAGTTTTCCTCTCAGGGACTGCGACAACATGGTGCTTTCCCGTAAATGTTGGATGTGTTTTGGGGGGTAGGAACTCAAGAGCAGGGTGTTTTAGTTTTTCTGGGTTGGACATGCGACAAAGGAGACAAAAACGGAGAACCAAAAGAAGCTTACACTCAGAAAAGATGAAGAGACCAAACATGAAGAAGGTTGCCGTCTCTGTGGAAGAAACGGCAACCTTCTAGCAAAGCTTCTTTCAAGGCTGTGTGCGCCCGAAGACTGAAGAAGTCGACTTGCGAAGAGTGCCAGCGAAGATGTTCTCCCTCGGACAATGGATCCCCACAGGTGTCACAGGATTTACACGACCATTTTGCAATGGTCCCTTTGATAGATGACCATATTTTCCTTTACAAACTGGTGGTGAACTCCACTTCCATGATCATTCCAGGGAGTGTAGGCTGGGGTGCCAGAAGGCAAGATTGTGGGTCGTGCAGTTCGACCATTTTCGGTCATGCCAGGCCAGGTATTACCTAGGACCTAGTTGATCCAGTGCTTGGTCAAAGCGATGGTTGGCCACTTCACCCTGGTACCCTGGTCAGGACAAGGGCGTCCGCGTCAAGACCTTCAATTCGAGTACTGTAGGTTCATCGGCCTTTTCTATCACTCTTATTAAGATCCCACCGTTCACGGCTGTATGTTGACTCTGAGTCGCTGTCTGGACAGAAGCAGTTTTTACCATCGACGTCCAGGATGAAGACTCGCTTTTAAGTATAGACTTTCCATGTTTTTTCCACCACGGACCAGTAACTTCCAAGGGCGCCCCTGGCTGGACTACCCCAACACTACCTGTGGATCTTCATTGAACACCAATTGAAGGTCCAGGGTCCAGGGATGCATTCCAAGTTGGAACATTAGCTCCCTTCTTGTGTTTTGGAGCCCAGAGGTGGATTAGCCATGCTTGGGCCAAAAATCCATTGCCAACCATGGCCCCCTCTTTGGGTGTCTGGACACATAGCCTCTCTTTTAGGTTCCAAGGTCGGGCCATGAAAACGCATCCCTTCTGTTCTGGGCCCGGTTCGAAGACCTTGTTGCTGTCCAGGAAGGCTCCGAGCTGGTGGCCATCCACCGGGTGCGTGTGACCGAGCGCACCGTGCGGAGCGAGGCGCCGGGGTGGACCGACCGCTCCGCGGTCCCCCGTTCCGGTCGGCCTCGGGCTCGGAGCGTTTGAGCATCCGAAAGACCCAAACGGCGCCACACATCCGGTGCTGTTTGTCACACCAGTGGTGGTTTTCACACCAGTGTACCTGACCTTCCTGTTGGGGTGTCCAATGGAGCTGGTGCAAGTCGTGTAGAGGCTTCCAGCCAAGAAGACCCCAAACGGAAGGTGCTCGTAGATGCTTTTGATGGGTTGTGACGGTTTGTGGCTTGTATCTATCTATCTATCTGTTTGTTTGTTTGTCTGTCTGTCTATCTATCTATCTATCCATCTATCCATCTATCTATCTATCTATTTAGTTACTTATTTATCTTGTTGCTCTTGTGTGACAATCATAACAAGATTGGCTTTGGTGGGTTTGTTGGCTTGGCTTTGGTGGGTGGACTTATTGATTCATTTGTCGGTCAAGGTGTTGTTCATTGCGACGTTTGTGTTGCTTTGATGTTCCATGTTCCTTGGTTTTGTTATGTTTGGTTTACTGTATTTAGCAATCTCATCCCCTCATTCGGGTGTGACATTGCAGGTCAAGACTTCCCAAACAATGATGACCAATCAGATGAGTGCTCTGCATGTCCAACACATAGAAGCTGGTAGAACATCCTTTGTGAGAGAGATGCCAAGCCCTTTGTGTGGGTAGAACAGTCCTTTTGGTTCTTTTCTTGGTTACAGAGAACTTTATATCAATGATGTTCCTGTCATGCCGGTGGGGGTGGCTTCACCCACGCTTCACCCGCACCACCGTTTGCAGGTCGCTCGGAGGATCTCCTCAAGGTCGGGGTCTTTGGGGCATCCACCAGAACTAGGGAAGAGGTCTGGAGCGTTTGGGGTGCTTGGGGTGCTGTCCTTGCTCCTAGTAGCGATGCCAGGAGCCCCTAGTAGCGTCCTTGCTCATATATTATGGATGTGCAGCTCAAATATAGGGAGAAGGCACGTTTGGAACAAGCAGTGTGCAGCGTCGGATCAACTTCGCCAGGATGCGCACGCAACTCGTACATCCACTATGGGTATACCCATAGATACCTCTGAAAAGTTGGACCAGCAAGAAAGCCAGAAGCCTGGTCTACTATAGTTCCTCGCGGTGACTTCGGAGTTCGGGGTGTTTGTTTACATTGAGTTTATGGGTTTTGCCATGCGATTTCTGGGTTTCTATACGCTGTGTTCCCAGGATGATGCGAGTTGTGCGAACAACCACGGTCCATTTTTGCAGCGTGGGAGGCCTGTCTCCCTGACTTTCCGCCTGCCCAAGAGCAAGAAGGACCGGCAATTCTGCTGTTTGTGGCCTTAAAGAAAGGAAACATGCGAAGACAGCCGAAGCAGTAGAGATATGTATAGTATTGAGTCGTGTAGGTTTCTGATTTCCAAGACATGTTCGAGGGATTCGCTTTCAGATTGCTTTGGTGATGTTTGGTGCGTTCTATAAATTATTAATATTATATAAGTTGCCACGCGTCTGTAGGGTCTTGGGCATACCCTGTATTTCAATGGCAGCCATATACACATCAACGAGGTGAATAGAACAGCTGAAAAGTTCTGTAGAACAGTGACAGGGTTCCTTCATGCAGATTCAGCTATAGTTCCTGCAAGCTTGGTCGGCTCAATGATGGGTGTTTTGAAGCTCTTAGACATGCTAAGTCACTGAGTCTGCCAAATTATGTGATATATAGTTAAACCGGACGATTCACAGCAGGATCTCATGTACTTTGCCAAAACCGAAGCTGAAGTGCCATGTAGTGGTGGATATTCATGGATCAGCTCTCATGTGGCACTTACTCTTTGGGTTCTGGGGTGCCCGAAGCTTTAAACTTTTTGCATGGGTGAGAGATACTGACACACAACTGTCATGGGCAGATAGATGCGAACAGATGGCCGATGATACAAGTATAACTATGAACATCGATCTAGTAACTCTAGTAATACAGTGCAGCATGATTCAAGGATGGGTGCGCGTGTCTCTACGCACCGGTGAGGGATTGAAACACCTGTGACGACCCACCAAACCCTCCGAAAGAAGAGAGTTTGGCGACCTCTTCATTAGATCTTCTTTCAGCGACCGAATTCATTCTCTTTCCAGCGAACCAATCCAAACCAACTGAGCCAACCACACCAACCAGCCCCAAATTGTTTTTTTTTTGCATTCTTCACTGCCTCAGGAAGTGCCGGAGAAGGAGATTTTCCCAATGGTTTGGGCCTCGGCCTGCAGGAGACGATTTTAATTCGAAAACTTGACCCTTCCATTTCGAAAAAGTGTTCCTACCCAGTCAATGAATCACCTCCCCGATGACTTTTGGGGGGGGATTGGAGAGACCACTCCCCTACTGAACATCCAGGTGGAAAGGGGATGAAAAAGCCTTCACCTGGTACTTTGTCCAGGCCAAGCGCTTCAGGGTCTGCAGTTGGCTCGGTTTGGACGACCTCCACGGAAGGCACCACTGACACATCGACGAAGCTGCCTGCTTTGGAAAGGCTCCAAGAAGCAGGGTGGAAGCCCCAACTACAGGATAGATTGGACATACAGCAGCACCAGCAATGGAATAGAAAAGACCGGATCTCCAAGTGCTGTTTTGAACGTAGACCGACCCTCGTATATAAATAAATGTTCAGCATTGGCGCCCTGGCACCAGTCCATGGCCCAGAAAAGAGCGGATGCACTGAAGACAAGAGTTTTCCAGACCCTGACATTCCATGTTTTTTTGAAAGTTATGGAGTTATACCAAAGTTATACCTATACTATACCCGACATTGAGGTGCTTTCCTGGGTTTGTGTGGTATTTCATCATCATCATCATCGTCGTCGTCGTCGTCATCGTCATCCTTCCTTTCCATACGCTCATCGAGTGATGATGGCGTGGATCCTTTTGATCCGCCTGGTCCCCGTGGGGACAACCAGCTTCAGCTTTCAGCTGAAGGTCCTGTCAAGCAAGCGAGCCAGATTTGTTCTGGCCTGAGCTGGTTGACTCCGGCGTAGAGCTAGGTGCAAAATGCCAAATTGGTGAAGGCAGGGACACGGATGGTCCTCAGTCAGCTCAGTGGTGTAGTAGGGCTGGCAAGCGCACCACCGAGTAGGATGAGCTTTCGCGCTGAAGGCTGCTCCACACTTCTCTGCAATCTGTTGGGATGCTTCCCAAAGTTCTCGATGTGCCACTTCAAGGTGCGCATTCATGTCACGAGGCCAACTTTGGCAGATGATGCACTTCTTCACCAGCCGATGGCATAGTCCCGGGTGGGCCACCAGGATGTCAGCATCAAGCCTGTCAATAGCCTGAAGCCATTTGTGGTGCCAGTCATCATTGATGGAGGGGTCATGAATGATGTTCGCAAGCTTCTCCTCCTCAGAGAGAATTGGAGATTCCTCCGTCAGATTTGAGACTGGTTCTGCGCCCCCATGCGGCGTGCAGTTGAGCCACAATAGACAGCAGTTTTCCTGAATCACAGTTGGGATGCGGTCGAACTTCTCCGGCACGGAGCCGTCGTCGAAGACCCACCAGAAGCCACCCGCCAGGACCGCCGTGCAATAGTGTCCACAGGTGGGCTCCGATCCCAAATGATAGGATACTGCCGTGACCACAAATGGAATGTGGTCGATGCCAAGCTTGTTGTTGTAGAAGAAGGGCATCCACACCTTAGAGTCCCAGCTGAGTCTGGTTCGATTTTTCTTGCCCCTCGAGTCGAAGCGATCGATGTGGAGGCATGTGACGTCTGCAGGTTCTGTCAACCCATGGAGACCGAAAGATGCCAGGCTCCAGTTGGAGATCAAACCTTGCAGATCGGTGGGCAGCAGTCCATTCTTTTGCTCACTGCAGATGTATAGGTGCAAAGGGCACCCCAGGGCACTTTGATCCACCACACGGATTTCCCCATCCTGTTCCAGCCGGGATTCCCAACAACAACTGAGAAAGTTGGGGTTCAGCTGTTGAAGAAGGTGGTGAGCAAAATCAATGACATCATGTTGTCTAAAAGGTTCCGGCCACGTGGAAAGTAAGGTGGTCCATTGCCCATCTGCCCACAATAGAAGTGGTGCTCCCTCTGGTGACACATCTGCAATGGTCTCAAAGACCCTCGGAAAGTTGGACCAGTGGTCCTCACTCAAGCCTCCTGCCCATTGAGCACTCCACACCAATCCCATGACCACCGAGTTCATGTAGCAAGCTGATGCCGGATTCGTCAGTGGCCTCAGTGGTGCCTGACCAGGTTGGATCAGAGGTCCCCAAGCAGTTTGCCCAGATGTTGAGCCAAAGGAGTCCTTTGCTGGGTCGCGGGTCTCATTCTCCCCAAGATCAGTTGCCAAAGTCCGGAGTGGCTGAGCTGGTGCCAAAGCCCCCCTCATCTCTGTGGAGTGTGAGTTGGTCAAGGCCAAGGTGACCCTCCATGGAATCACTGCAGAGGGCTTGTCTGTGTCCGTGGTCATGACTTTCTGAATCTGTTGTGCCGGGCGCAGTGCCCCAAAGCGCTTGATCAGGTCCTCCTGTTGCAAGAGAGTGAGCATCCGTGCTAGGGTGTGCAGAGCCTGCTGGACTGTGAGAGGAGCATCCTCTTGGGCTTCCATCGCCTGCTTCTGATGATCCCACTTCATCCTTGGGAAAAAGTAGTTGTTCCCATTCTCCTGGTCGATCTTCAGGAATCCCAGGCGTTGCAATGTTTGGATCAAGGGATCGGAGGAGGCCGTGGATTGAAGTTTTTGAGCCCGCTTCACCAACTCTTCCAGCAGTGCCTTCAGAACCAGGATCCTCAAGGGGTGTGTCCTCTCGCTTTGAGGTGTCTGATGCCAAGTTGTGGTCTGAGTCATCATGCAAGGTAGGATGGACCCTGGGCCCGCGCTCAAAAAAACGAAGAAGTCCGTCTCCGTGGCCAGACACTGGAGGGTGTCTTCGTGCCTTAGCACTAGCCTGCTCAGGACCTGCAGCAGGTTGTTTGTGTTGGGTGTGGACTCTCCATTGGTGATCTGGTTCTTCACCTGGCCTTTTTTTTCCTTTTCCTTTTCCCTGCCCCTTCCCTCCATTCGACGTGATGGATCGGGGCCTCTTGGCACTCTTCTCCTCGTCGACCTCCATCTTGACCCATTGGTTCAGTGCTCCCCACATCTCGGAGACTTCCCCCCGTCTCCATGTCCATGGTGAAGGATGGCTAGCAGTGAGGCCAATTGCAGGAGAATCGGGCACTGAGCTGCGGTGGGATGACCCTTGCAAATGGAGCAGGTTGATTGCTTCACTTGAAACATGGTGAGGTACTTGTAAAACAAACTGCCCCTGTTGGCGTGTTTGGCATGTTGATTCCACAGGTGTTGGAGCATGTCACGTGGATCAATCTGCCTCCCGCACAGACAACACCAGGTGCTAAGGGCTGTGCAAAGCGTGTCATCCTCAAGGAGCTCTGCAAAGAGACCAGTAGCAAGTTTGCTGTCCATGTCAGGGAAGGAGAGCGAGATGGTAGGGCTCAAAACTTGAAGATCAAGCCGAAGAGCATAGGACATTATCAAATCATCACTGCCTCCATGAAGTCTGGTCAAGTCATGGTGGACAAAGAGGGCCAGCTGTGTGAAGACTGTGCAGACATGTGGTGTTGTAGGCGGCCGAAGGCAGGAGCATCCCAGGTTCCGCAAGGCACTATCCGTTTGAAGCCATTCCGCATAAGTGGTGGCTTGTGGCCAGTGCTCATTGTGATGGTTCCCCAGGTGTTTCAGCAAGGAAACTGAGCTCCCAGACTGATGTCCACAAAGTCCGCAGATGTACCCAAGTCGCCGAATCAGGGACTTGTAGGCCATGAGATGGTCAAAGGTCCCGCCATGAAGTCCAGAGATGATCAGCGGATGATGCCACAGGAGGGGCGGGTCGTCGTCAGGTGGAGTGGAGCAGTGTCCTCCATCAATGTGGTGCCGTAGAGCGGCCAGACTCAGGAACTTGGAGTGACAATGTGCACATTGAGTCTGCCCAGGTACTTGATCTCGGCCAGCCACAAAGGTCCTAGTCGTCGTGGAGTGAGTATGATAAGACCTGATGCTGTTGAAGGCCTGCCGCGGTCACAAACTTCCGAGGACAAAGTCCACAGGAGAATTGGGCTTCCATCCTTTGAGGAGGTTGTGGAACAGGTGGAGGACTTGCCGGGAATTGCTCCCGGTGCTTCCGGTAGGCCAAGGCTAGGCCCAGCTGCTTCTTCACTGGACATGTGTGGGTCCTGCTCCGAAAAGCTTGTTCACAAAGTTCGCATGGAGAGGAGGCGCGAGCCCTCACCACATTGGGGAGAACGTCCCCCATGAGAGCATAGATGTCCCCATGATCTCTCCCCATGTGTGCAGACATCTGCTGAAGTCTCGAGGACCAAAATCCACAAAGTATGCACCGCTGGGAAAGAAAGTAGCAAAGCGGACGATCTCTAACCAGTGGTTCAAGGTCTCCTCCATCATAGTAGTCCAGCAGCCGAGTCCGGAAGGCATGAAGTTGTTCCGGAGGTGCCTTGGTTGGATCGAAGTTGGTACATGCGAACGAGGAGATGTGATGTCGGAAGTTCTGCCAGCTAATGAAATGTTCGCCACAATGTCTGCAGGTTGGTCTGCCATCAATCGAGTCTCTACCAATATCCAGTGGAGGACCGTTGATGTGAAGAATCCCATGCGAAAATGTTTCATGTCTTTTGAGCGTGTAGTAGTGACGAAACATGAGCCCACAGGTGTAACATTCCAGTCCTGCCTCTGCGAGAGGAAGAGAATTGCTCGGTTCTGATGTGCTGAGTTCCTGCAGCCATGTGTCAACAAGATTGATTGAGCATCGAAGGGAGTCCAAGTCCAAAGTGTGAAGAACGTCCATCTCATGCAGTTGAACAAGTCTTGCCTCGTGTCGGTGTAGTTGAGAGGCCATCCGCCCCCGCAGCACAGCAACCGGGTGTTGCAGGTGGTGCTCAAGAAAAAAAGGCATGATGTGACTTGTGAGTCTGAAATGAGTGATCTCCTGCTGCTTGTCTCAGCATCGTGGTCATGGCCTTGGAGAAAATGGGAATGCTGGTGCTGTCGGTTCCTGTTGCATCAAGTCCATAGATCCCTATGGGAAGAATGCATGTTTGCCAAAGAGCCACCGTCTGTGCCGCGTGCATGGAGTTCTTGGAAAACCAACGATGCATTTGTTTGAATCGAAGTTTGCTTGCTTGAAGTCTGGCCTTCATTGTATCCCGCTGAAAATTAAAATATCCCATC